TTTATTTGCATATAATCTATGAGAAATTCTTTTTATAATATTAGAAATGATTGAATTCTTTTAGCATCAATTAATTTAGGCAGATTTTTAATTTTTATGAAAGCTATGAATCTGTGTAATTGTGTTAATGCATTCAATTATAGGCAGTGGATAATTGTAGTAAAATAAAGTGTTATAGTTCAATTTGAGTTTTGTGTATATCTACAAAATCTCAATTTTGATTGGATGTCTTCTTTTTTGTACTAAATAGTTGATGATTTGCTTCCTTTTCTGCATATGCCCAGTATTTATAATATCTTCCTCAGCATCAGCAGAAGAGACATTTGATTCTAATGAATTCTGGGATCGATATTATACAAGTATTTATATAGGATGGTAGTATAAAACCAGAATTTTTGGATATTAGTAAACTTAAAAAAAAATAAACTAACTATATAATTCTTTACTAATTAAATAGCTTTCTAGCAAACATCTTGTTAAAAAACTCAATTTGAATCGTGCAATAAAAGGTAGATTTATTAAGAGTTGAAATACTGTCTACTGTATAGTAGAATGTAGTAAAAATATATTGTACTGCTTAATTCATAAAGTTTTTTTTTTTTTTTCTCTTGTAATATCATAAACAGGTGAATTTTTATTAGGTATTTAAGTAGTATATTTACCACCACCTACAATTATGCTGGCTTATAATCTTGTGCTGCTATATTTAAAGACTACCCAAATCGATATGTATTATACTACTTGTATTCTAATTCTATAGATAACCCAGTAAGGTTCTCATACTTATCAAGTTGCTCTAGAAAGGGTGTAGTATATACCCCTCTAATCTTTCTATATTTCACATATTTTCAGACTAGGCCTTTTTGATAACTTACGCTGAGTCCGAAAACAAGTACTTGTGAGCCGAAACTGCTACAGTTACCTACTACTACCCTTGTAGAGTTTACACAAACCCTGGTACCTACTTTATAGACTCTCTCCCATATCTTTGGAAACCTAAACTTCCAATCCTACAGCCTGGAAGGCAGAACCCTTCCTCCATTTTTCCTTATTGGCCTGGTTGGTATAGTGCTTTTGCCAAACACCTTGGTTCTGTCCAGTTTTTCAGTATCTGGTTGATCATCATTTACATAGTAACTATCGAAGATTTGTGCTACCTCTCTACTCGGATCTTGCTAAGCAGGTTCCTATACTCTGTAAATTCGCTAGATTTATCCAGTAGTTTCACTCGGGTTTTGTGTAATTCATACATCACACTACATGTTCCACTATCTTCCAGTACAAGCTGGTATGACCACCATTACAGATTCTACAACCCAATAGGATACAGTCTTCCAAATGCATTTTCTATAATTCAAATTTTTGTCACCGGTGGAATTTGAACTCTAGTTCTGCTGCTTGGGAATACAACAACTTACCAACTTTACTAAGTCACCACACCCTTTAATTCATAAAGTTCAATGTTAGTTTTTCTTTTTTTTCTTATATATTATTATTTAAATAATTAATGTGTTGATTTTATTATAACTTTACAGACCATTTTCAAAAGTTGTATATTCTCTAGAAGATTTTTAATTCAATAGAAGTCATTTTATATATACAATAGTATAGTTTTGTTAATTGTGTAAAAGTATTAAGTATATTAATAAAGAATGTGTAGTTTCTTATCAAAAATGTTTCTAATAAAGTTTTTATACTTGTAACTTGTTATTATAAGATGGGTAAAGAGTTTTATTCTTCTAAAATATAACTTATTTTACTTCGAAGTTAAACTATAGTCAAAATAATAATATATGAGTTATGTTTGTTGATTGGCTGCATGATTCAATGATTATCCATCTGTTTATATCATGCCTAACAATATGGTTTCTGATTGGTTGACTGCAGCATGAAAAATCCTATGCTTTTTTGAAAAATGAAAAAGTCCTCCCTGCTCCCAGCATTGTTATCAAAATTTTTTCGATTATGTGATAATGCCAAAATTCTTAGAGTCAGAATTAGAATTAGAAATAGTGTTCTGTATAGACCAAATTGGATGGAACTTTTTAAAGATCTGAATCTGATCTGAAAAAACTAGATTGGATCTAAGTTAGGATCTGAAACCTTATCAGATCCAAATTGGATCTGATCTGTTCAACTTCGTTGATGATTCTGATATAGTTGCACCTCATTTTATAGAAAGTTATGCTACTCGAGCTTTTATAAAATGTAGTGTAAAACGTGCAAAAATATTATTTATCAATTGTGGCTCCTGTTGGTCTACAGAGCTTTTTCAAATTGATAACTTCTGTATAATTAACTGTTATAAATTTTGGAATACCTGATAAATATTTACCAAATGATAATTTATGATCTAATTTAGTTATTTTTTTTTTCAATACATCAAAGTGAAAAGCAATTGTTAAATCTAATAAATACACTATTCTAAAAAATATATGTTGATTGCTGTAACTAAATTTTCACTAATAATAAATGAAAAAAGAATGAAAATTGAAATAAAATTATAAAAACTAATCAAGAAAATGCAATTGCACTAGAAAATCCTATAGATTTTATTTTTAATGCTCTTTTGGAAGATTATAACTCTGATTATTTATTTAAATAAAAGGTTTTTATAATTCTAAATCCATTAGACACAGCACCAAAAAATTGTTGAAGAAAACATAATGAACCCAATTAGTAACAAATGACTTGGTAGTATTAATAAAAATTTTGTATCATTGCATAAATTGGAGGATTATAATTATTTTAAAAGGCATTGGAATATTTTAAATACTTAAAAAAATCATTAATCATACTACAGTCAGACCTCTCTAAGTGCATACCCTTGGGACCACACTTTAGCAATGTGCTTAGAGAATAATAAGAAAAGTGCATTATAGTGTTTAAGAATATATTTGGGCCAGAATCTGAGTGTTCATTTAGAGAGGGTGTGCACTTAGAGAGTGTGCACTTAGAGAGGTCTGACTGTACTTTTTGGTTGTATGTTTATTGAGTTATTTGAAATAAATAAAATAATTAATGTATTGCTTATTGTTATTATTTTGTTAGTCTAAATTTTTGTTTGTATTTTTGTTTGTATTTTTTGTTAGGTTATATAAATTTTAGTACTCGATATATTGTCCATGTGATGTTTAAAACTTTTTTGGGTGGTGATTTTTACCTCAGTTAAAATTATATATATAATTAACTAATCAGCGTATGATATCATGCAATACTATTACGGATCCAGATTGGGTATACCCGACCAGATTCTACTATGGATCCGAATTTATACAGATCCAAAAATAATGGATCTGAACTCGATCTGTAAGCAGATCTGGATCGGATCTGAATCAGATCTGGATCGAATCCGAATTAGATCTGGATCTTTTGCAAAACACTAGTTAGAAAGATTTAATATATAAAACCATTCAAGGAATTTTTTTTGTTAGAGCATGAAAAGCAGTTTCTTAGACAAAATTGAGTAAAGAGAGATTTTTTGAAAACGAACGTTTTGTTTTGATCTTCATGATCATGTTATATTATATCAAGGCGTAATTTGTTATTAGATAATTTCGGATAATATAATGATCATGTGGCTTGTTTTAGCCAACCATTTGTTTCTGCAAAACAAATTTCATATTTATTATCACATGATCCAATATTGTTATCTTGCAATTATGATCATGTTTTACAATTCATTATTGGCTAACTAAGTTTTAACTCGAGATGTTTTGCTTATATAATAAAGCACATTAAATAACAAGAAGAAAAAAAATCCATAATCTTAAGAGTTTGTATGATAAGTTGAAATCATGATTTTATAAGTAGGTGCATGCGCATATGCGCATTAAAGTACATAACTCACTTTAGTAATATCAACAATACATATAATAAATCTTGTATAAACAATAAAATAACAATTTTCTAAAACTCAAATCTATTATTTTTCTATGCAATTTAATTTCTTACATTTGAAATTTCAAAATTAAATTAAAAACTCTTATGTTTTCCAATCCATGTTTCAACATAGTAAAATTACAATTTAAATATCTGGCTTATTTTCTCTTATCTTTTGATTTTAACTCTATTATATAAATAATACACAAATTTTTAAAATCCAAATTTACATTCCTGGTTTTGGCACGACTGTGTTGTGCAGCTATCTTATTCAAAAACATAGTTATTGCATATTGTGTCACAATATGTACAGAAAAATTCAAAGTTACTTTTTTGATATTTTTATTAATAAGGCATCAAAAACGAGAATATTGGCAGTATTTTATTCCCCCCGCTACATTTCAGACAATAAAAATAAAAAAGAGCATTGTCATATTAAAGAGCACATTTTAACGAACCTGACTATAGTTGTTAGGTGAAACCCAAAGAAGGAAATTTTAACAATAAAATGTATTTTTATAATTTTCTTTTTAGGTTTCGCCTAACAACTATAAACTTGACAAATATAATTATATTTGTGTGGGTTTGCTGATTCAAGAGTTATTGCAGCTTGAGCTTTCTATGTTTTTTATTATTAAATTAACGCTAATCTACAGTACACTATAAAAAAATCTTGATTAGTGATCTTCTAATTAGACTGATATTGTACACCCCAATAATCTGTCAATAATTTTTAGAATTCAACTTTACTTTGATCCCGATATAATGAATATTAACATCAAATGTTTATAATTTTATCCACAGTTTTTGAGAGATATAAATAATAAGTCTTTAGACTTTAGTCTTAATAAGTTTCAGAAGAAATACACACAAACAGTCGTTGAAGGATAAAAGCATTTATATATTAAAAATATATAAGATAATTAAACTTGCTTGCTTCCTAGTCAAAGATTTTGAAATTTAAACTATACTAATGTTGTTGCTAAAAAATTTTTCTTAGATTGAGTTGGATGCATAGGTAGATGCTTATAGACCAAATTTGTTGTTTATAAAAATCAGTTAGTTTTGGTCGTTTGTCATAATTCATTGCTATCTTTGATAAAACAAATGATATTACGTTAATCTGAAATTAATTTTTCATAATCCTTGTTCCATGCACCTTCTTCTGTTCTATGAAATAAACACTCTAATACACAAGCTTTTTTCTCTTCAAATCCAATTCCTATTTCCAAAAGTTTTTTAATATTTTCTTCTAGGCCTACTCGATACTGCTTCTTTTCGATTTGAAGTAATCCTTCTTGAGCTGCATCATGTAAACTTTTTTTATCATGAACAACCTTAAATTCAAAGATAATAGCCATCTCATTAACACCTGGTTTTGAAACTATTTTTATATCATATCTCCCAAAACCAGCCTCACGATTAGAATGAACAATAAACTCTCAATCACGAGCATTAGCAAACACTCCTAAACAAAAGACATGATAAACATATTCTGCATTTTTTCCAGAAGTCAACTCTCTGACCTCATAAAATGAAAGCATATCTACAATTATATTTTCAAATTCTTTACTAAATAAATCAAGATTTCCATGTAAAAGATTATCTAACATTGATGTGATAGTTTGTCCTTGAGTAAAAAATGGTACATTGATCACCCAATTATGCTATTCTGAACAAATCTCCTCATTTGGAATAACAAGATGCTTCTCAGAATTCATAGTAAGGTATCCTGCATAGTAAAGAAGTGTCCAAATAGCCAAATCTTGACATTGATCTAAATCTAAATATCGAAGATCATCCTGAACCTTAGCATTAGTTATACTTTCCCCTTTCAATAACTTTTCAATGGATTCCTTAAATGAAGAGCTTGCTTTCCATAGACATTTTACTAATGTTCGAGTGCTTTCCGTATCTGTCCAATATGCATCTAAAATACCACGTGAAAGCAGACAAATAATAGACCACGGATTATATAAATGGATACCTCCTCCTGAGATGTAACCATCATACCACTTCCGAATGTCATTAATTTGCAAATCTTCATATAGTGAAAATAATAATTTTACTTTATCGGATGTGAATCCAAACTTATCTGCATAAAGATGAAATTGACTTTCTTGGTGCAAAGGGTAAACTATAAGATTATTCAACCCAGACAAGAACCCAGATTTTGCAATCCGTAATACATCAACTAACATAGCTTTTGTAATATTTTCATCATTGCTCTAGTATTCAATTAGAATAGATATAAATTTTTTTTGATAGGATTATAATAAAAAATTTACAAATATGACTTACCTTCAATAATGATGAGAACATGCCTTTAAAAAAATCATTTGCAACTTCATAATATTCTTTATTATAAGCATATTTTATCAAGGAATCGTATTCATCAACCAACACAATACATTGTTTTTTATAATATCGTCGCAGATGCTTGGAAAGTGCCTTCAAAGAAAACTCCAATTGTGATTCAGGATAGATTGGATCTCTTTTAAGAATTCTTTGAAATATCTCTTGTTCCTCAGGATATAAACTGCTAATAAGGTAGCGGTGTTTATCATAAATTTCCACTACAAGCGCTCTTAATTTTTCTATTATTTTATCCCATGTTCCAGTGCATAGATCCTTATTTGTGATATACTGTAAGTGAAACAAAAATAGATAATCGTAATAAGCAAAACTTAACAATGTTCAAACCTTAAGAGTAATATAAATGATAGGATATTGTGCAAAATGTTTTTGCATAATTTCTTCTTCAGTTGAAATTTTCAGTTTTTCAAAAACTTTCCTGCTGATATCATTCTCTTCTTGGGAATATGGTATTTTAAAGAAATGGTTTAGCATGGATAAATTTGTTGACTTGCCAAATCAGTGAGGGCGAAGAATAAGTGATACAAAATCTGAACTCTCAATAAACTCTTTTACGAGCATTGATTTATCAACAAAAGTGAGACAGTTGCTTATAATAGTTTCAAAGTTATCTTTTCTAACTGCAACACTTGCACCAAAGACAACACTTGTATTATTAACTAAATATTAAAAAAAAATTTTTTAATGAAGTACACGACTAAAATTATCAGATAAAAAAAATAATATTTATGAGTCTTGGTATAAGGCTTAAAATTAGAACCTAACATGTCAGCATTCTGATCCTCCATATTTATGACAATTTATATGACAATTGAGTTTAGAATATCTGGGAAACATGAACATTCCATAGACGGAAAAAGTCTAAAGAAGGAAGCTAAATATTTTGTACTAGTATGTGACCCATGCAAGGGACGGTAAATACTTTCACTATTAAATTCTATTCCATTCCGATATGATCAGAAAATTTTTTTATCCAATCAAAATTCAATTTTTTGAATACTTTCAGATTTGATTGGTTATATTTGATTCCATTTTTAAGTATAATATTTTAGCAGAATCCAACTGCTAGAGCTGGGGCTCGTGAATATTTACAGATACAATTAATTAGTATATGAATATTCTGTTATACAAAATCCATGAACAATTGTGCGAATAATTTGTATGAATATCTGTGTGAATATTCTGTGCGAATATTTGAGTGCCATCAAGGAAAAACCTACAATCGGGCTTTCAAGTATATTTTGTATACAGTTGGTTATCTGTGTGCCGTCTATAGTAAAACTATCATCAGATATAGATTTACCATAGACGGCACACAGATAACCAACTATACACAAAATAAACTTGAAAGCGAGGTTTTCCCTTGACGGCACCTATTTGATAATTATGAGAAACGTAATCACGTGAAATTTTCTGAATACTCTGAATATTCGTGAATTTTCTATGAATATTTGCGAATTTCCTGAATATTTGTGAATTCTCTATGAATATCTATGTAAAATGAGTATATTTATTCATTATTATTCGCGAATGACTAAAATCTGTGAATATTCATTAAATAGCCGTGATAGATATTCAAAGGATCCCAGCTCTACCAATCGCAATAATTATGAATTACAAATGAACAAATGATCATATAAGGGATTTGTGTGAATCATAAAGTTACTGTGAGTAATTTACTAAATTTAGTTTAGATTATTCTGGGGTTTTACAACAACCAAATAAGTTGTGCATGATTTATTAAAATACAAATTTTGTGTTTAGTGTTAAGTATCAGTCCACATTATTTAAATCTTTTGGGCTTAGTGGCTTGTGTAAAAAGTAACAAAGGAGAATAAATTAAGGGTTACTCATCTCAAAGATAAATTATGCATAAGCCAGGGTTATGTTTACGTATTAATTTTTATCTAATGCTTAGAATTGATATATCGATATTATTTATTTGTACGTATATAAATTCTTATCACATTCACATTGCTTATACATTCTATCTGCTTCTTTTTTGTATGTTTTGCAATATAATTGTGAATGATAATTGCATTTGTCACAAACCTTACATCTGTAGTTTCACCCTCCAAAGATATGCCACTTTTCAATATAACTTTGTGTATATTATTCAGATTTTTCATTATTACATATTTAAAAAATAATATATATATGGTTAAATTTTTTAATCTTACAAACCTGTAATGTGTTGCGCTTGTGACCCATTTACAATCAAATTATATATAAATCTTATAAGGTAAAAATACTGCTTATATGTATGAAATTTGGTTTTTATAAAGAATTTTAGCATTTATCACCAGTGGCGATACCACCACCATCTATTTCTTTTATCAAATTTAGAGATAGGGTGCAATTTTAGACCAAGGTTAGGGTTAGATATAAGAGTCCAAATCTTTGTTAGGGTTAGGTTTTTGGAGGTTCTGAACATTTTTACTTAGTACCTTTGACATGTATTAGCTAGTAGGTTTTTGAGATATAGTATCTTCAGCAATATCATCACTGGTGATAAATAACAATATTCTTTATAAAATATTATAAAAGTGAATTTATATAAATTTATTATATATAGATATTCTGCAGATAATTGAATATTTTTTTGGTTGCATACTAGATGTGAAGTTTGATTGGCTGATTCTTGGCCAATCAAATTTTACATCTAGTATATAACCAAAAAAATATTCACGATATTTAAAATTAATCTGTTAAATATTAGTATTATTACTGCAGTTTTTAATAATTGAAAGTTCGATTTAATTTTATGTTATAAATATAGAAAAAATTGTGCATTCTTATTATAAGAAGCTGCATAATAATATATAATATTTTAGTTTAGACTGCAGATAAACTAATCTGAGTTTGTAATAGTCACATTATAGCAATGTGATCTTCCCAACACCGAATAGAAAATATTATTCCTCTAGCAACACAAATCGATTAGAATGCTACTTGGCTTTATTTAAACAATAACTACAAAAAATTATCCTTCTATACTAACTTTAAACTCTGTCAAGAAAAAACCTTCAAAATTAAATTCATGTTTAACATTCTACCTACATTACCAAACCTACACGCATTATACCAAAAACTTACTTATCACTCTAGCCTATCACTCAACAATTATACTAGGGATAATACAAATATTTAGACAACTATACAAGGATTTATACCTACTGCACTTATATAAACTATCAGAGAATATACAGACTC